AGAATTTTTGAATTTTTGTCACCGGTAAGATTTGAACTCTTGATCTGCCACTTGGGGGTGACAACTTAACCACTTCACTATATCGCCACACCCCATAAATTTGTCATTATATATATTGAATTTTAATTTTATTTAATTTTATTATTACTTATTTATAAAAACATTTAATAAAATCTAATTAATTGAGCATATTATAATTATTGTATTACTGTATTATATTAAAAAATAATTTTTTTTATTAAATAAAAAGCATTTAATTAAATAATTGTATTATTTGTATTTATAAATCTTTCAAGAGCTGTAAAATAAGCTTGTTTTACCTTTAATAATACTTGCTTATCTTTTAAAATACTTCTAATATATTATTGTTGTTGTCTATTTTTTGATCTTGTGGAAAATTTTTGTCAGCTTCAATAATCTTTTTAAGATTTGACTTCAATTTATCTAACTTACTTAATTATGAAAATAAAGAAGAAATATTATTTTTTATATCTAATTTGAAAATACTTTCACAATGATAATATTTTCTATTTAATAACATAGTAAAACAGCTTTCATGGTATCTATGATCACATGCAATAACTATGGAGCTTTTATTTGTCCTGTCACATAATAATCCATTACAATGATCATATCTGTTGTATTATAGCAAATACTTGCTGCTAAACTCTAACAGCATTTGCTTTTTGTCTATAATAATATCTAACGATGCTAGTTTGTAAATAATTTTTTATTTCTGACTCTTGACAACAGAGCTTTGACCTAATCTTTGATAAACTTTACTAAAGTTTTCAAGAAGAAACACCTGTGTCTTTTTTGTTAATAAGGCCAAATTATCATTATCTACATATGTAAACTTCTTTTGAACAACAAATACATCTTCAAATCCATTAATCATCTTTTTAGCATTAACAATCTTGACCATTTTAGAAAGATGTTGCGAAATACCAAGAGGTGAAATATGTGTTATATTCTGCTATACATATTCTCAACAAGATAATTTGTAAATTTGACTAAATAATCTTTTAGTATATTCAATATTGGGTAATTATTCTGACTCCAATAAAATATATTTAAAAAAAATACTAAAGGTGTTTTGTTATAATTGTGCTTTTCAAACTGCAAAAAAATAACCATGCCAGAAATATACTTTTGATATACAATTTCCAATTGCTAGATCAAAATAAAGTCAAATATATATCTAATCTAACTAGTACTGTATTATCTAATAATTCAAATAAAAATAAGAATTCCAGGTCCTTACAATATTTACTAAACTTATTTGTTATGATTGGCTTAATTTCTTTCCAAGCACTTTTCACTAGCTCTAAAATACAAATATTTGATACAGGCTTGGTGTTTTGCTAAGTGCTCTATTTGTACAAAAAATATATTTGTATTTCATATTAAAAAAATCCCAATAAGTTTTTAATATCCCTTAAACTATATTCCAGGCAAATTTGTCTGGAAAATTTAATTGTATTTAGTATTTTTTAAATAAAATAATAATTTATT